AATTCTCCCACAGATGGTGTTATGAGGGACCTCACGTGGTGTAGTAATTCTCCCACAAATGGTGTTATGAGGAACCTCACGTGGTGTATTAATTCCCTCACAGATGGTGTTATGAGGGGCCTGACGTGGTGTAGCAATTCACTCACAGATGGTGTTATGAGGGACCTCACGTGGTGTATTAATTCCCTCACAGATGGTGTTATGAGGGACCTCACGTGGTGTAGTAATTCTCCCACAGATGGTGTTATGAGGGACCTCACGTGGTGTAGTAATTCTCCCACAAATGGTGTTATGAGGAACCTCACGTGGTGTATTAATTCCCTCACAGATGGTGTTATGAGGGGCCTGACGTGGTGTAGCAATTCACTCACAGATGGTGTTATGAGGGACCTCACGTGGTGTATTAATTCTCCCACAGATGGTGTTATGAGGGACCTCACGTGGTGTATTAATTCCCTCACAGATGGTGTTATGAGGGACCTCACGTGGTGTAGTAATTCCCTCACAGATGGTGTTATGAGGTACCCCACGTGATGTATTAATTCCCTCACAGATGGTGTTATGAGGGGCCTGACGTGGTGTAGTAATTCCCTCACAGAGTGAGGTGTGGTCCCAGGCCTTCCTATGGTAGACGGATTAACACATCGCTGGTTGTTGTTGTTGGGTCTCACGCGCAGTTATCACTGGGTACCTGAGACCTCACTGTGTGAAGGTTAACTTGGGTATGACTCGGCTGTTACTGTTGAGTTGTTGTCACTGACTTAAGCACTGTTCACCACTGTTCACCTCTGTTCAACACTGGTTCCATTCCTCTCCTTAATGAAATTGTAATTTCTGGCGAGAACTTGTTGATATTCCGGTGGGGAGGAGGGTTCAGGGGAGGGGTTTGGTATGGGCCAACTTAACAGTTGACCTGGCTGCTCCCTGAGGAACTCCAGGTACGTCTTGACCCTTCGGTGGTCAAGGTTGTAGTGTGTGTGTAATTTCACTGTATGTATGTATGTGTGTGTGTGTGTGTGTGTGTGTGTGTGTGTGTGTGTGTGTGTGTGCCTCTTAACTTAGGGAAATTATGTGAACGATGATGATGATGATGATTGCGGTAGCAGATTTACACCTGTATCATACCTAAACGGATGATAGTGTAGGTGGTTAATGAACTGTTCCCTCGGTGGCAGTAAAGCGATCGTTCATTTTACAGTAGAGAATGAATAAGTAAGACCCGTCCATCAGCAGTTGTCACGGTCCAATATTTACAACAGTATTTCAGTAGTCAATCCTATGTAAGCCCAAACTCTTCCGGGAAAACTGAATTTGTATTTGGAGGGATTCAATCTATTTACGTCATACCTGTATACCTGTGTTGTTCATGGGGTGTGACGCAGGTAAATGTGTACAGGTGTTTTGCATCGTCTCAGGTGAGTCTTGTCATCCCTTCGTGGTTGCTGGGTCAGTGTAGTGTTGTGTTGTGTTGTGTTGTGTTGTGTTGTGTTGTGTTGTGTTGTGTTGTTTTGATGATGTTTTATGTTGTTTAGTGTTACGGAGAATTGGGTAGCATGTGTACTGTTGTCTGTTGAGTTTCTGGCCTGTGTAAGGTTAGGTTAAGTTAAGTTAGTTTAGGTTAGGTTAGGTTAGATTAGATTAGATTAGATTAGATGAGGTTAGGTTAGATTAGATTAGATTACATTACATTAGGTTAGGTTAGGTTAAGTTAGGAATCGAATCTGGGGCCTCCACTTGTTTTGCCTTGTGGTGCCGTGGTAGCGACCCCTCTTCATACGTGGAGGTCCTGGGTTCGATTCTTGACTAGTGAGGTGTATGTATGTATGCATAGCTCAAAGCTGGATATACAGGGTTCATACATGCTAGAGATGCTGTTGTAGGGTCATGGGGTCAAAGGTCACCTGTCACCAGTACTCGTCAACAAATCTACTGGTTTACTGAGACTGTTGCTACACTCTCGTTTAAATACAGAATTACCATCACACACTAATATGCAGGCAGCGTGTAGATCATCATTGTGTTCCGTGGCTTCAATAACTGTGTAACTTAAATAGATGAAGTTTATAACGTCTCTGAGGAGCGATTGAGGCCTTGAGATTTGAGTTTGGTATCGTTAAGGATGATAAGGTCTGCCGTACTCTGCTTTAGGGGATGTTATCTTATCCTTGTGTGTACTCAATGAAAATGATGAAGCTGTTTGATTACATTTACTACTTCCTTTGTAATTAATTAACAGATATAAAAGTCCCTGTACCTGAGTTGTTATGTCTATGTATATTATTTGTATTGATAAACTTTTTCATACTATTGCATTAAAAATATCCATCATTTGAAGACTAATTATTTTCTTGTCGTCTTTACAGGTTAGTACGAGGTGCAGGACAGGTGGTCAAGGTGTGGCTCAGGTACCAGGTAAGAGATAAGTTGGTGTGGCTACAGAGTGACAACTGGAGGTACAGTCGGAAACCATATTCTCTAGCCCACCTGGGTTGGTGCTAGAGGTTAGTACAGTGTCCTTTCTGGACGGGGGCCCACTCTAACTATCACGAGGCAACACACGCACGAACACACACAGTCATCGTACGGCTGTATAGATGACATTATGTATAAATATTGTATATGGCATTTTATACTCTGCATTATCTTCATTATACATGAACACGAAGAAAAATTACCATAGGTTGTAGTTACAAAAGTATGAATGGAAATAAACACTTCCAAACCACCCAGTGAATCCACACAATGTTTACAGCGCTGGTGGCCAGACCACGATGCTTCCACCACACCCCATCATTCGCGTAACTATATGAAAAATCGTGTTTAATTTAACTACATATTTCAAAAACCTTAAATTGCATGTGGATCAGTCACTCCCCATTTGACACACTTATAGTGTAATACTTTGACCATCCCACCTGGGCACATGGAGGCCCACGGTAACTCTCACGGGGCAACATCCTTGCATTTGTTGAGAAGAGTTAAATATGTTATAATATATATATATATATATATATATATATATATATATGCACACACAGTATACAGTAGTGTTGTATGAATCTTTGTAGGTTGTGTAGTATGTGTGTTGTGAAGGGAGTGTTGTACGTGTAGTTGTTCAACAACAGGTGTTGTATGTGTTTATGGATGTAGTGATGTACGAGTGTTGTGTTAAGATATTATTTTACATATTTGTGCAGACAGTTTACGAACACACACGGAACACTGCCTGTATGTTTGTAACACTACCAGTCATCAGCACAAGAAAACGCCCGAACACATTAGAGATTTATTTAGAGATTTATTAAGCAAAAGTGTTAGGAATTGTAATAAAAAAGAGACACACATACACACAAGGGACTGAACTCAGAGCCAGCAGGATCCGGTGGTCAGTCCCACAGTGTGGCCGCGACGCCTCAATGATATAAACTTTGTAAGGTGTTTATATGTTACAGCCTAACTTCTGTTAATACACAATATTTGTTTATGTATAATAGGTATTTTTACACCGAATAATTGACTCGTGTATATGTCACATTTATTGTTATCCTCATACAAGAAGATCACTGAAGAACATGACTGTTTATTAATAGCCATGAAGTTAATAAGTAAAATACTCCTTCAGTAATTTCAACACTTCCTCTGATACCATAACTAGTGGTCTCCAACACAGGTTCCCTCATGAACAACATTTAACACATCTTGTCTCGAGAACCTTGGCCACAAATCCTCCCAACACACAAACTTATCACTTGATCCTCAATACTATAAATTATCCGGGACTTTACCTTTACGTATGATGCATTATAAACCTCTGGTGAGAATTACTTAGTGATTAATTAAATGATCTTAGCAGTGGACGCTAAAAATACCATATTGTATGAATAACTTGTATATTATGAGTTATATACTAGAAAGAGAAATGACTATACAAGGCATAATCTGGAATATAGAAGGTATTTAGACGAAGTTCACAGAAGATGGATGAAGAGGGGTGTGTGTGTGTGTGTGTGTGTGTGTGTGTGTGTGTGTGTGTGTGTGTGTGGAAGAGTACAGTATATAATTATTAAACATAACTAAATCTGTTCCAGAGAAACACTTAATATGGAACGGCGGACTGAAGGCTTATTTTAGTCTATTACGCGGCATCGGAGAGACATTCATATACAAAGGGAGAATAAAGGTGGAAATAAAAACTACTAGGAGCTACAGGGACTAGTAAACAAAAACTACTAGGAGCTACAGGGACTAGTAAACAAAAACTACTAGAAGCTACAGGGACTAGTAAACAAAAACTACTAGGAGCTACAGGGACTAGTAAACAAAAACTACTAGGAGCTACAGGGACTAGTAAACAAAAACTACTAGAAGCTACAGGGACTAGTAAACAAAAACTACTAGAAGCTACAGGGACTAGTAAACAAAAACTACTAGGACTAGCTACAGGGACAGGGACTAGTAAACAAAAACTACTAGGAGCTACAGGACTAGTAAACAAAAACTACTAGAAGCTACAGGGACTAGTAAACAAAAACTACTAGGAGCTACAGGGACTAGTAAACAAAAACTACTAGAAGCTACAGGGACTAGTAAACAAAAACTACTAGGATGTACGTACTTCACCTGTGGCTGCCCAGTACTGTACTTGTTATTGTACCTGACATTACGATCACCTATAACGTGTTCCACCTATCAAAAATTAATTACCCTAGAGTTGACCAAATCCAACCTAACCTAATCTAACCTAGTTTAACCTAACCTAAGCTAACCCCTCCTGACGTGAAACTATTCGAATGGTTTCAGGTAAAATATACTGGAGTGTCTAATCTTCAGGTCAATGCACTGATAATATATTATATGAAAATTCCTGTGTTAATTTAATTTAGTTTTATATTATGCTTTTGCTTTCTTGGAGACTGTGAGGGTATATTGCTGTCTGTCTCCGCCTGATAAGTATCTGTTAGTGAGTCCGTGAACGTTTGGGTTAATAGACTGGAAGAAGCTTAAGGAGGAGGTGCTGCAGCTTTGTTTATTTCAAGTTGCTGACCCCGGAGAGTAAGGGGTGGGGGTTGGGTTCTGAGGGGCTGAGGGTTGAGTTCTGAGGGTTGAGTTCTGAGGGGCTGAGGGTTGGGTTCTGAGGGGCTGAGGGTTGAGTTCTGAGGGGCGAGGGGTGTGTTCTGGAGGAGCTGAGGGGTGTTCCTGAGGGGCTGAGGGGTGAGGTTCTGGAGGGGCTGAGGGGTGTGAGAGTTCTGAGGGGGTGAGTTCCTTGGAGGGGCTGAGGGTTGAGTTCTGAGGGCGAGGGGTGAGTTCTTGAGGGGCCGAGGGGGTTGGGTCTCTGAGGGGCGAGGGGTGAGTTCTGAGGGGCTGAGGGGCTGAGTTTGAGGGCGAGGGGTGAGTTCTGGAGTGGCGAGGGGTGGGTCTTGGAGGGGCTGAGGCTGAGGGCTGAGTTCTGAGGGGCGAGGGCTGGGGCTGAGGGCTGAGTTCTGAGAGGGAGGGGTGAGTTCTGAGTGGCGAGGGGTGAGTTCTGAGGGCGAGGGCTGGGTTCTGGAAGGCAAGCCACTGAAGGAATAAAACTCAATACAACACAATTCTATAACATCCACAACTGGTCAAAATAAAATAAAAGGCAAAAAAAAACACCAAAGACTTAATTATTCTTACCAATAAACACTTTATATATCTAATATTAGCATAAAAATCTTAATACCAGAAATATCGTCAAATGTGTACAGCCAGTTATCAAATTTAATTCACTAAAGTTATCTCCTGAGGGTGGCTGAGTGGGTTATTGAGTGGTGGTTGGTGGTTGGGCGGGTGGGTGGTTATGTTACGCTCGGTATTAATGGTGACGTTTGTATTCATTATATAGTTAGTACCAATACTAAACTGGTATAAAGTAGAACGGGATTTTGACTTTTTTAATATCCTTGAGAGAAAAATTTACCATGTAGAAACAGTTCTGAGTTCACCCCTCCTCCTCCCTCCTCCTCCTTCCTCCTCCCACCCTCCCTGCTCACCTGGGCTTATTTCACTCTGATGATTAAAACACCCAATGCTACCCAAAGAAGTTAGATTAGGTTAGGTTAGGGTTAGGTTAGGTTAGGTTAGGTTAGGTTAGGTTAGGTTAAGTTAGGTTAGTGTTAGATTTGGTTAGCGTTAGATTAGCTTGGACTGGATTAGCGTTAGGTTAACATTAGATAAGATTAGGATAACATTAGATTAGGTTAGTTTAGTGTTAGGTTAGGTTAGGTTTGGTTAGGTTAGGTTAGCGTTAGGGTAGTTAATCATACAGTAAATTGAAATAAACTGGGCGGGTTATTTTTCATATGACCCGAAAATATTTGGTAACCACGAAATGACGTGTAATTTTCCACACAAACAGGGAGCGCCCACAGGTAATGAGCCACCACTATTATGTAGTTACCTGGGAAAGTGGTGATTGGTTGATGATTAATTATGTTAGTTGCAGAAAAATATTATAAATGAAAATTACTGGATATTTGTGAAGCTGTTTAGCGGCCGTTCATGAATTTTTAATTAGACGTTTTTTAAGATTAGTTTTTGTTTGTTTTTTTTATTGTTTGTGTTGTTTAGTACACACACGTATACACTCATAACGCATAGAGATACACACACACACACACATAATAATAATGGTTGCCCCTCGTGTAACGAGGATGGCCGGCTCAAGGGCCACCTAGGCGTGAATTTGTTTAAGGTGTAGAAGCTGTCGCCATCACAACAACCACACCCTGAATTAACGAGTTGCATGACCAAGTGTTAAGGAATAGTACGAGAAGACCGGACAAATCGCCAGCTGCACTGGCTAACCATTACCCCGGAATACGATCGATTAACGTTAATCCAGGCTCCCAATTACTACTGGGTAGACATAGTTTCACCCTGCCCAGGGATCGAACCCAGATCCGCTAGCTTGCGAGGCGAGCATGTTGACCATTACACCACAGGTCGACATATACACACACACACACACACACACACACACACACACACACACGCACACACACACACACACACACACACACACACGCACACACACACACACTCATACAACCCCCCACACACACACACGCACACACACACACACACACACCATACAACCCCCCCCACACACACACACACGCACACACACACACACACACACACACACACACACTCATACAACCCCCACACACACCCACACACACACACACACACGCACACACACACACACACACTCATACAACCCGCCCCCCCCCTACACACACACACACCAGGTGGAAGTATCATATCACAGCATGTGTTCTTTTAAGTGACAGTTCCACATATTCGTATTTACAGTCCAAACACTGAGACGTAATTAGTATGCATCATAATGGCTGTTAATTACCTGAGTGTTAATTAAGGTAAGGAGCGAGGTGATGAAGGTGTGAGGAAATATGATCTTAGTTTCTTAATTATGACTAATATTCTGTTAATGTGGTACTGGGGAATTATTGTTAGTATTTATTGGAATATTTAATGATATATTATTTTGTATGTTAATTCTTACTACTTTGGTGCTGTAATGTGTAATAACTCTCACTGGTTTAAGGTGGTGAATTGAAGGTTCCATTCCAAAGTAATTTAACCATTGGGATTATCACTGGGTCCCGATCGTAATGGTTAGGTTAGGTTAAGGTTCCATTAGGTTTGGAACCCATTATCACATGGTCTTCCCCCCCCCCCCTAATCTTGTACTAGTTATTAAGGTTAGGTTCCTGTTCGGATTAAAGCTCCTAGTATAGTTGACAAGGTCCCATTACGATTAGAAACCATTAACACAGGAACCCAATTATAATGGTTAGATTAAGTTGTGGTCCCATTAGCGTTAAAAACCACTAGCTCTGAGACCCCTTAGGATTGGAAACCATTAACACAGGATCCCAACTGTAATGGGTGATGGACGCTCAGGAGTCATTGAAATTACGTCTCGTGTAACCAACCACCGAACAGTAATGCATAACATCGTAACGTGTAATGACATGTAAGTAGATGCCCAGAACAGGCTAAAGTATATCGAGTGAATGCAAGAGAAGAAGCTAGCAAGGAGAACGTAGTAGACGGAGGAGAGATAAAAGAAGGTGGATAGAGGTAGTGCAAGAAAGGGGGTGTGGAATACTGGAGAAGGATTGGGATAGTAGAGGATGGATGACAGTAGTATAGATGGAGTGGCCTAGATGGATAGGGATTATGGAGCTGTCAAGGAAGAAGAAGAGGGAGAGAAGGAGGAGAAGAAGAGTAGGAAAACAAGAAGAAGAGTAAAGAACGATAAGAACAAAGAGATGAAAAAAGTCGAAGATAAAGAACAAGAAGAACAAACACTATCACAAGGACAAAAACAAAGAACGTGGACAAGAACAGGAAAAAAAGAACAAAAGCTAATACATGAAAAACAAAAACAACAAGAACTAAATATATATCGTTCCTATTCCCACCACACACGTGACCTGGGATTGTATACAGGGTGTAGTAACCTTGAGACAGTCTTAGGTCAGTGCCATCACGTTGACCAAGAGGTAAATCATCACACCTCAACCTGATCATCATCCCACTTGGCACTGAGCTGGTAGGGGTGTGCCAATCTGGGTGCCTCGGGGGATTTTCTGTGCCTTTAGCGAGTGAGTTGAGCTCTCATATTGCCGTAGGGTGGAATATTTCTTCAATGTTTCTTATTTTATTTTGATCAACTGTTTTATATTTTTTTTTTTATTCTAATTTCGTCACTTTTTTGGCTTTTTTTTTACTTCTTTATCTTCTTTCTCTGTTTATCTCTTATTCTGTGTATATTTTTATTTCAAATTCCGAGAAAATTTTAAATAATAAGTTATATCTCACTTAAGTGTTTGAGGAAGTTAACTTAATTTAGCTGATCTCATAAGTTTACTTCCATAAGGCAGCTATATCATGACACCAAGGTCTGCGTTGTCCCTTGAAGTACTACCTAGTGTGTCAGTGTGAGTTTTCCCTAAAGAACACCATGGCGGAGTCAAACAAGGAGTGTGCTTTTACCTACACTCTTTGTATTTCTTCAACACATTTCCTTTTTTCTTGTAACATCTGTGGACGACTCTGCCGGTCCCGTATCGGCCTCTTTAGTCACCTCAGAACTCACTAATGAAAGGTGACATCCTTAATAACTCATATCATTGCATCATCGCTGGATGATCGTCATACACTATTCCGAGTGACAGGAAATAGTACTAGTAGTAGTAGTAGTAGTATTCTCTCTAGTCATTGTTAACCCGCCCGCTACTGTGAGGTCCTGTCTGTCTGTCTGTCTGTCTGTCTGTCCCAAAAATAACTCGAGAACGGGTTTGAGGTTTTGTACCAAACTTGTCAGGTTTGAGTGGGATAAACTTTTGGTGTATTATCTCCCCAAGACTGAACGAAGTGTTGCTATGATAACGGTTCACACAATGATAATAGATGCTGGATTTTCGAGGTTAAGGAAAACGATGATATGAGTCTCCAACGGTGACTTCATTCATTCACAGTAACAGCGTCAGTAGTTCAGTATTTACCTTGCCATGGTACGGTTCGGGGGCAAGGTTTGTATCCTCTCAGAATTACACCTTAATGCTGAGCGTCACAGAATTAGGCACGAAATAGTGTGGATGACAAAGTTATACGAGATATGATGAACATTGCAGGACATGGAGAGTAAAGCCGTCCAGACCATAACCACTCGTCAGCGTGGCGCCCAGTGAAGTGGCTGAAGCATTTTCCTACAGCTGCACGAGTAAAGTTGTTCTATTGACGACCTTCTTGAGCGACAAAATCAATACAAACACGACGGACGTTCATGAGCCTCAACTAGAGACTCATGTAGGCTCAGTAACAGACCAGCACCGTGTTGTTCATTGATCCAGAACCACCCAGCCAGTACGTGTCAGGTCAGACGTCCTATTGACATCATTATATTTACCTGTTCTTCTCTCCTAACTCAGTGTGGGTGGATCACTCAGACCCGGGACAGAGAGTAATGCAATCTAGTGTGTAACGAGTAAGACCAATCACTGTCTTTGTTCCCAGACTTGTTGCCTGGTACACCACACTATGTGATGGCCTTCATGACGCTGATTCACATTGTTTACATTGACATAAATAACCGGAACACACGCGGGGAAGTGTTGCAGTCTTTGTATAGATATGTACTGTACTACCTGTGGAAGCTTGGTACACAGTGCTTTAAGGCAGGTTAGCGGCCACCGAGGGCTATAAGACATATATGCCGTCAAGCGTCACTCATCCTCCTCACCACGGTCTAAAGAAGATGACATCAGGAACAACACACACAGGTACACCACAAGAGGAGAAAGTCGTCTCCTGTACTCACCTCCCAGCATGGATGTATGGAAGAGACATCATCCACCTCACCAGACGCTGGATGATGTGAGCTCTCAACACAGGGTCATTAGGCCAGGGGCTCCAGCCTACTGATGATGCCTTGTTCAGACATTACCCGCGTCTTAACTACCACTTAAACATCTGGAACAAAGTCACTTGGGGACTACTAAACGTTATAACACACGTAAGGACATTCACAGTTAATTACATTACATTTATTGGAGTGACCTCGCCTCTCGTCCTTAGGGTTGCTGGTTCGATCCAAGGGCACTCTTATTTTACCCAGCAGTAAATGTGTATCAGATTTTACAAGTTTGGACGGTGAAGGTGGTGGAGTGTATAGTGCCAGCCACGTACTTTGTCTACTGTTGATTATTATGTTCAAACTAAAGCTGCGGTCACACTAGAGTTTCTACCCAGAATAAATCCACCGTAGTGTTGAGTTTTTAACGAACTCCTCAAGTTGTCTCAACAGCGACAACTTATTTGCTGTCGAGAGTGGGACGATACGGAGCGTCTGAAAATTCACGGTATGGTGGGTTGAAATATTCTGTAGACAGTCTATTGTATTAATAAAATTTACACCGTTCATATTTTTTCTTAATAATGTTAAAATGTACAAAAAAATATAAAAAGTGTATTTCAATAACACACACGAGCAAAAATGTCATATTATATAAAAAATAATAAGAATAAAAATACATCACGACGGGATTTCATTTGACTCTAGAGTACTTGCGTCACTTTTGTAAACAAACATCGCTTGGACCCGATAAACGCGCACCAAATTATCGTCCTGGATACTGTTACCCACAATCGTTTCTTTTTCGTCTTGGTCTTCTTTAACAGGACCACACATCTCACTAAAGCGGTTAATGCTGCCACAGAAACATACAATGAAGCCACCCTGCTCCCCACCCGAGCTCAAACTAGCCAGTGTGCGGTTCGTACTGTTGATTTATTGACTGTGGATGAAGTGCCGTCGTGGATTTATTACACGGAAAACTCTAGTGTGTCCGTAGGTTAACAGTCACTATTGCCGTCCCCTACAGCCTGCCGTCCCCCCACAGTCTGCCGTCCTCCCACAGCCTGCCTTCCCCCCACAGCCTGCCGTCCCCTACAGCCTGCCATCCTCCCACAGCCTGCCGTCCGCCTCCAACCTGTTGTCCTCCCCACAGTTCCCTATAATACTTATCAGTTCTCTATAATACTCGCCAGTTCTCTATAATACTCGCCAGTTCTCTATAATACTCGCCAGTTCTCTATAATACTCATCAGTTTCCTATAATACTCGCCAGTTTCCTATAATACTCGCCAGTTCTCTATAATACTTATCAGTTCTCTATAATACTTGTCAGTTTCCTATAATACTCGCCAGTTCTCTATAATACTCGCCAGTTCTCTATAATACTCGCCAGTTTCCTATAATACTCGCCAGTTTCCTATAATACTCGCCAGTTCTCTATAATACTCGCCAGTTCTCTATAATACTCGCCAGTTTCCTATAATACTCGCCAGTTTCCTATAATACTCGCCAGTTCTCTATAATTCTCGCCAGTTCTCACTCGTCAGTTCTCTATAATACTCATCCAGTTTCCTATAATACTCGCCAGTTCTCTATAATACTCCTTGTTTCCTATAATACTCAGTTTCTATAATACTTGTCAGTTTCCTATAATACTCGCCAGTTCTCTATAATACTCGCCAGTTTCTATAATACTCGCCAGTTTCCTATAATACTCATCAGTTCTCTATAATACTCATCAGTTCTCTATAATACTCTATAGTACTCCAGTTCTCTATAATACTCGCCAGTTTCCTATAATACTCGCCAGTTTCCTATAATACTCGCCAGTTCTCTATATAATACTCGCCAGTTCTCTATAATACTCCGGTTTCCTATAATACTCGCCAGTTCTCTATAATACTCGCCAGTTCTCTATAATACTCGCCAGTTCTCTATAATACTCGCCAGTTCTCTATAATACTCGCCAGTTTCCTATAATACTCGCCAGTTTCCTATAATACTCATCAGTTTCCTATAATACTCGCCAGTTTCCTATAATACTCGCCAGTTTCCTATAATACTCGCCAGTTCTCTATAATACTCGCCAGTTCTCTATAATACTCGCCAGTTTCCTATAATACTCGCCAGTTCTCTATAATACTCGCCAGTTCTCTATAATACTCGCCAGTTTCTATAATACTCGCCAGTTTCCTATAATACTCAGCCAGTTTCTCTATAATACAGTTTCCTATAATACTCGCCAGTTCTCTATAATACTCGCCAGTTCTCTATAATACTCGCCAGTTCTCTATAATACTCGCCAGTTCAGTTTCCTATAATACTCGCCAGTTTCCTATAATACTCGCCAGTTTCCTATAATACTCGCCAGTTCTCTATAATACTCGCCAGTTCTCTATAATACTCGCCAGTTTCCTATAATACTCGCCAGTTCTCTATAATACTCGCCAGTTCTCTATAATACTCGCCAGTTTCCTATAATACTCGCCAGTTTCCTATAATACTCATCAGTTTCCTATAGTATTGCCAAGTTCCATAAATGATCGACAAGACAGGTGGTTTAATACTCAGAATAATTATACGAGACAGAAGGCATTATAATTAGTTGATGTGGTATTAAGCTTCGTGTAAGAGGGATTATAGAATTACTAGGATAATAATAATAGTAATAATAATAATAATAATAATAATAATAATAATAATAATAATAATAATAATAATAATAATGACATATTTCCGTGATGCTCCAAGAATATGACGTATTAACCTATGACGCTAATGATGGCACTAAAGATATGTTCCGCCCTGTTCCACTGTGTTCCGCCCTGTTCCACCGTGTTCCACTGTGTTCCGCCCTGTTCCACCCTTTTCCACTGTGTTTCGCCCTGTTCCACCGTGTTTAGTATAGTGGCCAGGTGTTTTATGACTCGTAAGACTAATATTTATAAGTGTAGTTTAATATTAGTTTTACTTCGCTGTGGTGTGATTCGAAGGGAGTCCATAGAATTGGCTGTGTGGTGAAATAATATACGTCTGTCTCTGTCTGTGGTGGAACTTGAGGCGGTGTACGTATGTTTTTATAACCAACCGCTCGTACTGACTGCTTCCCTATCTGTAGAAATATTAGTTATGATAAATACTCTACTCTGGTACGCTGGTTCGAATTATACCTTGAAGTTAACTAAATATTTCATTAAACCTATCTATTAAAATAGTCAATATAATAATGATATTAATTACTCCTTATTCATTGATATGTTGCTTTTAGACTTTTGCCATCAAGTTTTTTTAACGGAATCAGCTGGCACTATGAATGCCAGTCCTCGCTGAGACAGGACCCAACGTGTTGAACAGCGTATAGTTGTGCTCAGGCGCCGTGTGACCACTGCCAGGCATACATAAGAACATAAGAAAATAAGGAGTCTGCAATAGGCCGGTTGGCCTGTGCATGGCAGCTCCTGTCGAGAGTTACTACCACTCTCTATCATCCATGAATCTATCTAGCCTCCTTTTGAAACTTTCCAGAGTTCCCGCACTTACTACAAAGTTGCTAAGCTTGTTCCACTCGTCCACCACCCTATTTGTGAACCAGTTTCTTCCTATCTCTCTCCTAAACCTAAACTTATCCAACTTGAATCCGTTGCTCCGAGTCCTATCCTGCTCGGATATTATAAGAACTTTATCTATATCCCCTTTATTGATTCCTTTCACTCACTTAAATACTTCTATCATATCTCCCCGCACTCTTCGTCTTTCTAGGGAATGCAAGTTAAGTTTCTTTATCCTATCCTGATATGGAAGGTTTCTAAGTCCCGGAATCATTTTTGTCATTCTTCTATAATAGGGGCACCAGAACTGAACCGCATAATCGAGGTACGGCCTGACTAGCGCAAGATATAGTTGCAATAAAACCTCTGCACTCTTGTTACTTACACTTCTAGATATAAAACTCAATACTCTGTTTGCCTTATTTCGAACATTAACGCACTGTTTTCTAGGCCGTAGGTCCGGGCTTACAAGTACCCCTAGGTCTCTTTCACAAGTCGACTTCTCTAGGTTGCTGTTGTTAAGGCTATATACATTATAAGTATTTGTTCTTCCAATATTAAGTACGCTGCACTTGCTGGTGTTGAATTTCATTTGCCATTTTTCAGACC